GTTGGAAGGGACCTCTAGAGATCATCTAGTCCAACCCCCCTGCACAGGCAGGGTCACCTAGAGCACGTGGCACAGGGTGGCATCCAAGCAGGTTTTGAAGATCTCCAGAGAAGGAGACTCCACAACTTCTCTTGGCAACCTAAGAGAAGGGGAGGTGATAAGTGGGACTGGGAGGAGAGAAGGTCCTTTTGGGCTCAGATGCCATCTGAGGGTGGACTGATTCTAGGCGGCTGCCCTGGCTTTGCAGAACCCAGCCTGCTGCATGGTGCCAGGGCCACGTGGGGCTAGGGAGGGCTCTGAATTGTCCCTTTGCTTGGCAGACAGTCCTGAGGACAGCCTGCTGGTGGACTGGTTCAAACTCATCCATGAGAAGCACATGCTGGTGCGGCACGAGTCGGAGCTCATCTACATGTGAGTGTGCGCGGGAGGCGCTCACCTGCTGCTGCCCTGGCTCCGCTCTCCCAACATCCTGCTTCCAGCGGGGGCTCTGACTTGGCCCCCTTGCCTGCAGAAGCTGGGGCTCCGACTGGGTGACTGGGATTGGGTTGGGATGACATTCTGCTCCTCTGGAGCCTTGAGACCATTTTCCAGCAGTGTCCTTTTCCTTTGCAGCTTCAAGCAGCAGAACCTGGAGCAGCGGCAGTCAGATGTGGAGTATGAACTGCGCTGCCTCCTGAACAAGCCAGGTAAAACATCATTCTGCGTGTGGTTATCCCCATTTTTCCCTGGAACTTTATAAGCCAAGTCTCTGCAAAAGAGAGACAGATCTTTAGGGAGAGCAGTACACTGGGCTGGATTTGGAGACTCTGCCCCATCTCATCCCATGCCATAGCCCTGGGCTGGGAGATGTTCCCTTTGCCCCATGGATGCCAAGTGGTGCTGGAGGGCTGTCCCTTCACACCACCCCACCCCAACTGGCCCTGCAGCGTGATGAGTAGAGAGGGATCTTGCAGATGACTGGCACAAGCACCAGTGACAAATTCAGAGCTCCTTCAGTCATTTAATGGCCTGTCCTTATTTTGGGGCTCGGGGGGGTAGAGAAGGATTGGACGGATGAGGACCGAGTGAGGGAGAAGGTGCTGATGCAGGAGCTGGTGACCATCATCGAGCAGAGGAACGCGATCGTGAACTGCCTGGACGAGGACCGGCAGAGGTGAGGGGTGGGGTGGGCTGGGGGGGCGGGGAAGGGGACGGCCTTTTTGACCCTGTGCCCCTTGAGCAACTTGTGGGGTGTCCCAAGATGTCCCTGTTGGGGCACCCAACAGGTCTTCCTTGGGCTTCCCCGTGGGTCAAAGAAATCCATTGGGAAAGAGACTCTTGTCAAAGGGACAAGGGTCAGAGAGACCCTTGTCTCTTTGGATGGTTTGTGTGGGAAAGACAGGGCAGCACTTGGAGAACGTGTGGGATTGATGTTCATGGAAGCAAAGGCTCTCGAGAGAGCAGTGGAGCCTCCCCTCTGTGGCTTCTAAGTAGGAGGTTCTCTAACCTGAAACAAGATGGCAGCTGCATTCAAGGCAGAATTGCTGACCTATTTCCCACTGTTTCTTTCAGGGAAGAGGAGGAGGATAAAATGCTAGAAGCCATGATTAAAAAGAAAGGTAAGAAATGATCAGGAAGGTTTTAGTTATGATTTCACCGCAGACCTCCATGAGGGGCAGCATTAACTATTTTGTGCAGAAGGAGAGGTTGTTCTGTGCAGCCTCTGGAGCCTTTCCTGGGGGGCTGTTAAGGTTTGGGGCCCAGCCCAGGCTTCCTAGAAAGGAGTGCGCATGCCGTGGAGGACTTGACTCGGTGCTTTCACCTCTGTGTTGTCACGTGTGTACAACCACCAGAATCACGTAATAACAACCCCGTCTTGCAACCCCCAGAGTTTCACAAGGAGACTGAGGCCGAGAGCAAGAAGAAAGGCAAATTCAAGCCCATGAAGGTGCTTAAGCTGCTGGGCAACAAGCACGACTCCAAGAGCAAGTCGCCCAAGGAGAAGAGCTAGAGCAGGGCAGCGCCAGCCGCAGGAGGGCTGTGCTGCACTGAGCTGCGGGATGGGGCTCGCGCCCCTCTGCCTCCTGCCGCGCTCCCTGCCCGGCACCGGGAAGCCGGGGAGCGGGAGGGCGGCGCAGCCTCTCCCGGGGGCGCGGAGTCCCGCGGAGGAGGGCGCCGGGGCTCCCGCCTCCCCCTCGGGAAGCCTCAGCACCGCGGCGGGAAGGCGGCTTAGCCGTTCCGGAGTGTCCCCTCGTGGCGTGTTCCTGTTCCTGACTGCCGAGGAGTTTGGTGTCTGTGGGAAAACTTGCACTAACCGCCCCCCTCCCTCTCCTCCGCTCTAACTGTGACGGCTCCACGTGCCTCCAAACTGCCCCCGCAGGAGGGAGCTGGGCCTGACTGTCCCTCCCTGCCCTCCTGCTCTTGCCTCTTTCCTGTCCCAGTTTTAACTTGAGGAGAAAACTCGGGACTTAGGAGCAGGATTCTTTGGCCTTTTCCAGCCTAAACTGAAATGTTTTTTTTTTTTTTTAAAAAAACCCCATCCCAAGGTCCTGGAGAAAAAGCCCAAAAAAAAAAAAAAAACAAAGATGCAGTAGGTGCCCTGTCTATCTGGAGATTTCCCCTCCCGCTGACGACTTTTCTCCCTCCGGTGCCAGGGCTGGGCAGGCTCCGTTACAAGGCCGAGAGAACCCAAGGGGACAGTGTATTTCTGCTAGGATGTAGCCTATACACCCTACTCAGGACATCCTACTCCCCGCCTTGCTGCTGCTAAACAGACCCTGCTGCCTTTACGGGGAGGGAGGGACATTCCTTTTCCAGACAAGAAGCGCAAGATTTTGCTTGGTGCCGGCAAGGGGCAGTGGGTGCCCCTGCTCACCAGTGCCACCCTTGGGGAAATGGGCACGGGTCGCCCTGGCCTTTCCCCAGCTCTGCCTGTACATACGTGCAAGAAGGGTTGGGCTGGGTGTTTTTTACGCCTCCTTTACTAAGTGAATTCAAAGCCACCCACAACTTTTTACACCCTTATTTTATTTGTCATGTTTGTGTGTTTGTATATGTGTGTGTGTATGCTGGAGGAGGGAAATGGGGGGGGATGTTATTCTTCCAGCCATCCCTTCTTCCTGTTTCTTTTTTTGTTTCCTGCCTTCTCCTCCAAGGTGAGGAGCTATTTATTGAGTTGTTCTATCAGCCTGAATTAGACACTGAGTTTCAGGGCTGTTTGGTCGGTCAGCTGTTGGTCATGCCTTCCCATTAGATGAGACATACCAGCCCTGAGCGAACTGCTGCAGTCTCTCTTTCCAAAAATCCAATGGGCTTCATCCAAACACTCTCCCTTGGAGCAGTGCCTTGCAGCATGGGATCCCCCTTTCCCAAAGCACAGGGGTCTGAGTGTCACCCCAGCCCCAGTGCAGCCCTGGGGGGAGCTGGCAAGCCGAGCCCCACGCTGGTGATGCCACTTCTTTCCTGCCATCCCCCAGCTGGCTCCTCGGGAGCCGCAGAGATCCCAAAGCACAACCCTTTACCAAGAAGCACATTGGCTTCAGGGGCTGCTGCTGTGTTGCTGCTGCCAAAGGCCATCGGGATTGCTGCAGCCTCTGCTCCCCCCTTTGGCTCCGCTCCTGTCAGAACTTCCATTTGTAAAATGATACTGTACTAACCCCGTGATTTCCATTCACCTGAATGGAAATAAAAGAAACCTTGAAGTTAAAAAACGGATTGTGGCTTAGAGGGTTTTTTTATTCCTTCCTGCACTCACACTGCCCCAGAGACAGGGTGCACTGCCTGGCTTTGATGAGTGGTTGACAGGGCACCACTAAAAAACAGATAAAACCAGGAAAACCACAGCAAACCTGCATGCAGAAAACCTTGAGCAGGAAATCCCCTCTCCCTTCTCACTGCAGCTGCCTCTCTTAACCGCTGCCGAGTAGTTTGCTGGCACACACAGTCACTCCGAGCTACAGGAATGCTAGGAGCTGGTTGTGTGAGGCCACACAGTGCATCTTCTTCCCCAGCACCTGCCAGCACGACCGTTCCCAGAGACACAGTCAAAAGCAGGTCCTGGATGGAGATAGTAACACTCATGTTAGCATCTTGCTGCTTTAGGCTTTTAGCTCCTCTGGGCTTTAGGTTGAATGGAAAAAAAAAGGTGTGACTTTCTCTGAATTGCTGTGTTCTGCAGCATTCTCTAGCCAAAAAGAGGCTTTGCTTTGTCATGTTTTAAAGTGTATTCCTGTGTGTTTTCATCTCCTTAATATTGTTGGGCAAATTCCCCCTTGCAGAAGGGGGGAAGGATTTGACAACAGCTTGCTTCTGTTACCAGCTGTCAAAAATTGTTCGTGGCTTTAGGCAGCAGCTGCCAAGGGGATCCTTGAGAAGTGGACAGGCACAGACCAGCCCTTGAGACTCTGAGATAAGGGAAGAAGAGGAGGGACCAAATTGCTGTTTTTTTTTTTTTCGGGCCTAGTCACAGGAATCAGATTTGTTCCCAATGGGCAAGTCTTTTGTTGTGATCTCTCTCATTTCCTTGCTTCTCTTCTTGTCAATGATCTCCATTTCCCGCAGTTTCTGCAAAGCGCAAGGGGAAAGGCTGAGTGGAGAGAATACCAGGAGCTGTTCCTTTTTTTTTGGGGGGGGGGGGGGGGAAAAATTTGGTCATCAGTTATTCTTGCCCTAGATTAACTTACATGCAGACATGGAAAGGTGAAACCTCCTCTTCCCCCTGTCCCCTAAATTCACTCCTTCCCCGTGCCATGAAAGAGAACCCTTGGCTCCCTGCCCCTTCCTCCTCCCGCTTGGATATCGGGGCACTGAGATTTCTAACATCAGGGATTCCCTCAACACATTGCTCTGCCAGTGTCCCCAGGGCCCTCACATACCTGCAAGATTTCGGTGAGGACAATCCCTCGATACCTTTTGCCCTGTCCTAGAGCTTCCATCTCTGCCAGGAACTCCTTCCTCTCCTGAACTTCGTTCACCACTAAGTCCAAGGAGAAGAGAAAAAAACAGGATTCAGCAGCCAACCTTGCTAGTGTCACTGGAATGGCGATCCCACCGGAGAAGCAGGTATCTGCTCTAACAATTACCTTATGTCACCAGAGTATCTCAGCAGACCTTTGCATACCAAGAATACTTCCCCCATGCTCCCATGGAGAGAAAGGTGCCCTTTCTCCACCTTCCCAGAACAGTAGCTTTCTGGTTTTCTTCAAACAGACAACACTGTTGCTTGCTGGCATTTTATCCAGTCTGGATGGAGCCAATCTGCTTAAATCTGTTGAGGTTTGTTAGTTCAAAGGCAGCACTAAGGAAAACACAACCATATTTGGTCACAGGACCAGCTCATGCACAGAAGCTGTTCAGCTGCTCTTTTGCAGCACTGACCTGCAGCCAGTTCATGGGCCAACACCTGACACAGCACAGCCCCCTGAGCGCTTTACATGTGTCAAGCACTGCAGTGAGTTTGAGACCAGTTTTGTAGCACTCAAAGCAAATGTGAAGCCAACCACACTGGTTTCCTTGCAGCACCAACCAAACCAAACCCATGCAAACACATTATTTGAGTGCTGTTATTTTTTTGTGTTGCCCTGGTTAAGAAAGAGCTGGCTGAGGTGCACACGTGCATTGAAGTTTCAAGCACACCGAGTTGTAAGGCAGGGGTTTGCCAGCCCAGGTAACTCTGTAGGCCAAAGTGTATCACTACCTAAAATTTCACTCTGTATTTAAGCTTTACTAGTATAACTGCACTGGTTTGGGAGCAAAACAAAACAGCCCAAACCACACTCAAGCTGGCAAAGGTCCTAGTCTACATGGAGCTACACTGGCTGAAAAAAAGGATCCACAGTACCCGGGCTTGCTGCCGAGGTTACCCCTGCAAACCAGTACGAGCTGTTTGTGCCAACAGAGCAGATTTTGTGGGGGCAATCAGGAGAGTTCGAATCCGCCAGCAAACCGCTGCAGTACAAACTCCGCTAGGGAAGCTGGGTCCGTGTCACAGCAAGAAGTCCTTTCCCTTGGAAACTGGGCTTGGTGCCCCCTTCCACAACGGGCCTCAGGTTACTGGCTACACATTCGGCTCCCCCAGCTCTGGGAGCCTGTGAGTTCCCCCAGGCTTTTCTGCGTGCCTGGCTCTGTCACCCTTCACATACACTCTTCAAAGCGGTCCACCTCGGGAGCCTCCTCTTCCTCTGTCTGAGCCAGCGTCCGCCTCGCTTTGTGCTCCACCACGTCCTTCCCTGTCGCCAAGATATTCTGCAGCCTTTGCTTCTCCCTTTCCAAATCTCCTGGGATTGCCAAAGAAAAGAAAGTCATTAGCAGACTGTCTCCTTGGGAAGGAGCCTGGCCACACTGCTTCTCTCCAGTATTATGTTAATGACAGCCCCATGCTCAGACTGAATTGCACAGCACTGTGCAGATGTGTTTGTGGTGAAGAGTCAACCAAACTGACATCAGAGGTCTGATTCACATTTATAAACCAGAAAAATACATAGTACTCCCTTCTTAGGCAAGGATTACATACATTCGTGTCACCTACCATCCTAGCCAGCAGGCAGCAGTCAACGAGCATTTATAGGAGACAAAAAGAGTGAAGATGAAAAACAATTAAGAACCCCCCAAAGACTGCTGAGGTTGCAAACAGCAAATGGATGTACGGGACTGGGCAGCGCGGTTTATTTATTAGTTACGTTTGCTGACTTACGCCTTGCCTGGGGCTTGAACCTCTCTCGGGTGTAGGCGTCTCCTGCCTGGCAGACCCCGGCGGGTCGAAGCTGCGGTTTAGCTGGAAGCCTGCCTGGCAGACAGGGCTTTGGGAGAGAGAAGGCAGGCTCTGCAGGCTGAGGCTCTTTGCTGCGTGTGGGGCTGCACTGGAGGGGCAGGGTATCTCCTCCTGGACATCAAAGGGAAAACACTGCTACGTCAGACACAGGGAAACCTGTGGCTTCACGGCCCTGGACCAGCACAAGGTCTGTCTGGTGACCCACTGGAGCACAGTGAGCAAAGATCCCCCGTACCACAGGCATCTTACCTGGTTATTGCTTCATATGACATGAGACTGGGTCAAGTCCCCCCATTATGGTTGGTTTCCTGGAGAGACCCCTGGGGACATCTCGCCCTGTGCAACGTCAGCAGCAGCTATACTGCTGTTTTAAAGGCAGAAGTGAGGCAGTGAGAGAAAGAGGCAGGTGGAGGTTGGACAGTTTTCTGTATGAGAACAGTTTCCATGACAGGGTATGAAAACAGAGATAGGAGAGTTAGGTGGGAGCCAGTGCTGACAAGAACAAGACTTCCTCCAAGCACTTGTTTCTTGCCCATCCAATTAGTCTGTAGGGCAGTGCTCTCTGGGAAGCACCACAAAATCAGCAGCACAGGGTGGACAGCAAGAGATTTACTCACGTTTCACACAATCCATCAGGTGCCGTCTCTGGAAACTCGTGAGCTTGGACTCATCCATCATTGCTGAAAAACATGGTGTATCTGTGAAGACCACACCTGAGAGGGCTCCCCTATTCACCTTTAGACACCAGGGCAGGGGGAAGGGCTTGGTGATTAAGCCCTAGAGAAAATTTCCACTTAAAAATGAAAATCCAGAAGAAGAAAGCAAATTATTTTGCCATTTCAGAAACATCACATCCAAACATTCAAACATAGGTAGGCTCAGTGAGATTTTTAGCATCTGCTCTGTGTAGTTCTCTCTCAGCTTCTGCTCCAGGGGAAGAATTAGGTGGAGTGTTTTATTTCTGGAAAGGTTTTCTTTGACCTGACCACACTGCTGCAGTAACAACCAGCCCCAAATGCTGCAGTGAGCTCCGTGCAGAGGCTGGAGAGCCAGGAAGCGCAGCAGGAGGCAGAGGGTGCCAGCGCTCGCTCCAGTCTGCCCTTCCCTCCCGCTACCTTTCAGCAGCTCCTGGGTTTCCCGGCTGTACTGAGCCGTCCTGGGAGGCTGCCAGAAGCGAGTTCCCTTGGCCGCAGCCGACACCGACCGTCTTCCCTCCCGCGACGACATCGCCAAGCCCTAGGGACAACAGCGAGACGAAGCCACCAAACGTCCCCAATGGCCCCGGGCCCAACCCCACCTGCCAGGGCACCCGCTCGG